TCCCACCCAAAGCCCTGGCTTGTGACTATTTGGTTGCCATTTGTATGGTAGTTCAATGAGTGTTGGAATCAATTTTGTCCCAAATTTTAAAAAATATTAATGAGACAAGGTGGGTGAGATAATATCTTTTATTGGACCAATTTCTGTTGGAGAGAGAGACAAGCTTTTGAGTTTCTCAGAACTCTTCTTCAGGTCAAAAAATTACTATCGTTTAAAAATCTGCCTCCTAGAAATGATACAGGCTGAAACAATTTATATTTGATTCCTGTTTTATGCCAAGTGCTTGTATTTGACTCCGGGAGAAACTATTCCTCTTCATCTCATTTGTACAAAACTGTACTGAGCTCTTTATGAATATCCTTCAACGTCTCTTGATGTAGCAGTGCACTTAGCATTATAAAAGGCAGTGCTTGACTCTGAGCAGTAGACTAGCAGCTGCTCTGTCTGTGTGTTATTCTTTATGATGTAACTGCTGTGAGCAGTGGAATTATCCACATTTGAAGCTGAGCTGTAGGAAATCATCTGTGTGTGCTAGGAAGAAGTTTAAGACAATTGCTTATTGATAGCTTGTTTGTTATGTTTAAAACCTTTTATTTTAAGGGGCATGACTACCAAAGCTGGCACTAGACTGTGTGTGTGGGGTCTGAGGACTGACCCCAGCAGTTTCACTCTGTTACTGGCAGCCCTGTTTTCTAGGAGGACTGACATTACTCCATCTTCACTGGAGTTTGCTTCCCCAATACCAGTGACTGTTACCATGTCAGATAATGAGCTGTGGGACAAAAAAAGGCTGAAATTCACACGGTTTATTATACTATGTGCAGGACCCCATCCAAGGTTCCAAAGCTGGTCAGGACCTTCCCCCTTCATGATCTAGAGTGTAACATTTACACTGTCTTTTCAGAGCCTGGCACGGCTGTACGTATTAATAGCATTGCTGACTGTTATTTTCAGGAGACGGTTTTAGCAGCTGCTTCTGAGGGGTGGCCAGAGCCCACAGCCAAGCCAGGACAACCATGGCCTGGAGGTGTTTGACAGGAGTGGCACTGAGGAATGACCAAAGGTGTTCGTGGCCATATCAGGCCAGATCTGAGCATTTCATTCAGTG